ACCAAAGACGAAATTCACATTCCTCTCCCAGATCCTCCAGTTCTTACCAGGAGACTGAGTCAGAGAGTACAGAGGGGCTCCCACAGCTGCTCTCCATCTCTTTTTGCCCCTGATCTGGTCTCTGCTAAGTTCCTGGAGGGTCACATGATCCTGAGTCTGGCCCTGTGGACAGGGAGTCAAAAGGTGTGGCTCTGTCCACTCTTTCCAGAAACGTGGAAATGCACCAGGAGTGTAGGCGCCTTCTTCCAAGCACAGGTGACTGGCTGAGGCTGGTGGAGTGCAAGGCCCAACTGGGTACCTGTCACCATCCTGGAAACTCTGAATCTTGCTGCCACCAGAATTACTACGGAAATGATCCCCTGGCATTGAAGCCATTGTGAACAGACTCTCTAGTAGTGAACTTAGCACATTCTCAGGGGCACACTGTGGACCGAGGACAAAGTGCCCACAAGAGCACAGGACAGACAGTGGCGGTTCATGTCTCCCCACAGGTCTTTCTAGTCCTAGTTCCCTTATTTTCTGTTCTGTACCATGTAAATGCATCTCTCCCCAGGAGCATATTATCATGACTTAAAATTCTTCACTAGATCTCCATCTCAAAGGTAAAAACCTAGCCTTTGCCTAGGAAAGACTTTTGCTTTTTGTGTTCTGTCTTCTCTCTGCCATCTCCCCCCCTGGCTCCCTTCCCTACCAAGATGTCACCGAGGCCTGGGGTCTTCTGATTTTTCCTCCTGTTGCTTCAGAACACTGGCCTTTACCCGGACACCTGTTATTTCATATGTTCTTATGATGCCTGCCTGATTCCATGCATTACTTTCAGGCTGAAATCGGAAAGAAAAGCAAGTGTTACATCTGCTGTGCCAGCCCCACTCAAGAAAGCAAGAGCTTTCCTAGAACCTCTGAACATCCTGTTACATATAGCCCAAAGGCACATTGGCTAATCCTAGCTGCAAGGGAGGCTTGAAAATTAACGATGTCATTGTTATGGCAATATCTATTGGCCTGATCCCATATGATCAAATACTTGAGACTTTGCTAACTGCTGCTCTCAACAAATCTGCAGTCGTCAGTGAGGTTTATAATCTGAGCTGAATGTAGTGGTACATACCTGTAATCCTAACACTCAGGAGGTAGAGACAGGAAGAGCAGGAGTCTGAGGTCAGCCTTGCCAGCATAGCAAATTTGAGGCCAGCCTGTGCTACGTGAGCCCTGTCTCAAAAAAAAAAAAAAAAAAAAAAAAAAAATCCTGCAGGCCAGTTATGGTGGCACACACCTCCTCTATTCCCAGCACTCAGGAGGTGAATGAAGCAAGTCTGGTTTCTAAGTTTGAGGCCAGCTGATCTACAGAGAAAGTTCCAGGACAGTCAGGGATAACCAGAGAAACCCTGTCTCACACAAACCAAAAAAAAAAAAAGGTGGTAGCTAGAAACTTGAGCAGGTGATAACCAGGGCTCTGTCTCCACCTCTCCTGTTCAGCAGAATGGGAGTAATGGGTATTTCCCACTGCCCTCCAAATCTGCCTGGAAAACTCTCTCACCCATCCCATGCCTGTTTCCATGAGACCTCCCTCGGTCCCCCAGTCAAACCTGCTCTTTCTCCTCCCTCCTATAGTACACACCTACTTTTTTTTTTTAATTTATTATGTATACAGCATGTATGACTGCAGGTCAGAAGAGGGCACCAGATCTCATTACAGATGGTTGTGAGCCATCATGTGGTTGCTGGGAAGTGAACTCAGGACCTCTGGTAGAGTAGTCGGTGCTCTTAACCTCTGAGTCATCTCTCCAGCCCCTACATACCTCCTTCTGTCATAGGTATGTATACTTACTTGCCTTTATAGTTGTTGATATACTGAACCGTGATGGCTCATTCAACTATGTGCTCATCCACTCTCTCCACCTGTTCTTTCTCAGTCACTGCTGAGAGCCAGGCCTGCTTCCCACCCTGCTGGGGTTTTCAAGCTGAAAAATAAGATGTTCGGCCAGACAGTAATCGTGCACACCTTTAATCCCCAGCACTTGGGAGGCAGAGGCTGGCGGATCTCTGAATTCGAGGCCAGCCTGGTCTACAGATCAAGTTCCAGGACAACCAGGGCTACAGAAAGAAACCCTGTTTCAAAAAACAAACCAAAAGGAGCTGTTCAGGTAAAGTTGTGGGGGAAAGAATATCATCTCCCCAGGCTACAAGCAACCTTAGAGCAGGAGAGCCTCTTGTCCCAGGGACCCAACACAGCATCTGGCACAAAGTTATCCACCAAGTGCTAACTGTGCTTTTCTTGGGAAAGCTTTAAATGTATTTTAAGTGTACACATTCAAAGAGGTATGCGGGGAAAGAGCGCTGGAGGGCAACAGGAACCAGGACAAAATACAGACAGAACAAAATGCTGTGGTGGCTCTTCTCGGTTGTCAGCTTGGCTATACCTGGGACCAACTAAAACCAAACCCCTGTGAGGGATTTTCCTTGATTGGACTACTTGAGGTGGGAAGACCCACCCTGAATCTGGGCACTCCTGCTGCTGGTGCCCACATGAAGGGCATGGAAGAAGGAAGTTTTGCTTCGTGCCTGCTTGTTCTCACTCTCCCTGTTGAGTTCATTGGCCCTGCTGCTGGGGCATTCCTCTGCTAGTGTTAGGGCCTCCTTCCTCCGGATTGCAATAGACAGCCATGACGGCACCACCAGGCCCACACCCTGTAAGTCACTACAGTAAATCTCCTTTTAATGTGTACAGATGAATTCACCCTGTCAGTTCTGTTCCTTTAGAGAACCCTGACTAACACACACATGTACACAGACATCACAGTGAAACCTATTTCTTTATATGCCAACTGAAAAAGTCACCTAAAACAGGGTGGTTAAGACACTGGCTGCTCTTCCGGAGGATATGGGTTCAATTCCCAGTATTCATATGGCAGCTCACAGTGTTTGTAACTCCAGTTCCAGGGCATCTGACCCTTCTTCTGGCTTATTTGAGTGCCAGGCACACATGTGATACACAGACATACATGCAGGCAAAACACTCACACGAATAAAAATAAATAAAACTTCAAAAATGTATTAAGTAAAAAAACAAAGGAAACATATATTCCTCATTTCCATCAGGGAGCCCCCCAAGAATGAGCCATTATATACTCCATCAGCATTATAGCAGGCATTCAAGCACCTCGAAAATCACCATGCTCCCCCATCTTTCATATTCTTCTCACTGGAATGGGCCCAGGAGCATCTAATATGTATGTGTTCTGATCAAAGCTTGCTTTGTTTGTTTTTAAGATTTGCTATTATTATTATTTTAATTATGTGTTATGGGGGCGGGGGAAGGGAGTATGGGCACATGAAAGGAAGTGTCCACAGAGGTTGAAGGTGTCCGATCCCCCTGGAGCTGGGGTTATAAGCAATTTTAAGCTGCCTCATATGGGTGCTGGGAATCGAACTCAGGTCCTCGGGAAGAGCAGTAGTGCTACTAACCACTGAACCATCTCTCCAGCTGTTTGTTTGTTTGAGACAGGACCACATGCTATAGTCCAAGTTGGCCTGGAATTCATAGTAATTATCATGCCTCAGCTTTCTGAATGCTGGGGTTATAGCTGTGAGTCACTACACCAGACTTTATTCCTGTGTGTTTGTGTGTGTGAACACCAACACACATGGAGGCCAGAGGACAGCCTCAGTGTTGTTCTTGAGGCACTGTCCATTTTTATTGATTTCACTTGGCTTTTGTTTTGAAACAGGGTCTTCCTTTGGCCTGGAACTCACCTACTAGGCCAGGCTGGCCCACCAGCAAGCCCCAGGAGTCCACCAGTCTCTACTTCCCCACATCTCGTAGGCCAGGCTGGCCCACCGGCAAGCCCCAGGAGTCCACCAGTCTCTGCTTCCCCAGTTCTGGGATCACAAGTACACATCACCTCACCTGGGTTTTTTTTAATGTGGGTTCTGGGGCTTGAACTCAGGTCCTCCAGCTTACAAAGCAAGCATTTCACTATGACCCCAGCCCCCTTTTTTGTACTTCCTAAGCAAGGACAGCTCACTGTCCATGCAAGAGATGCTGAAGATTAATACTGGAAGCACAGAACAAAACCCCTCCAAAGCCAGGTGCAGCGAGCGGCAAATGCCCACAACCCCAGCACCTTCAAAGCTGAGGCAGGAGGATCATGGCGAGTTCGAGGTCAGCCTGGGCTACAGAGAGAGACTCTACCTTAAAACAAAAACAAATCAACTTCCTGAGGGTTCCAGTTCATAACTTACATGGTTTCTGAGTCCTCCTGGTCTGTTGCCCTTTTACCACTGCAAGTGAGGACAGCTAGGAGCAAGGGAATACAAATAACACTCAGCCTGTTTCTGTTGCCATGGTGATGCTGACACGTGAGCCACAGGAGAGAGCTCCTTTATACAGTGTAGCCAGCGGACTGCAGAGGCCAAAGACTGAGGCCACAAACCTGAAAAATGTAACACACACACACACACACACACACACACACACACACACACACACACACACAGGCTCCTAAATGTGCAAAGGACACTTCATGCCACTACCTGAATCATCTTGCTGCCTCTTAGCCAGACATCAAATAGATGACCAGCTTGCTCCTCAAGTCCTCAAGAACCAAGTCCTCCACCTCCCCAGGTGCCTATCAGGTGTATATTTCACAATATCCAGGCCCCTCTTGAGTTTTCACCGTCTGTCCATCTCTCATGATAGCCTTCCAGCCCAATTTCTCTTGCTATTGCTTCTATGGAAAGCAAAGAAAACCACCCCCTTACACTTAGGACGGTCACGAGAGGTAAGATGTTGAAGTATGGACTCACTTGTTTTTAACCCGCCACAACTAACTGTGGCTTTCTCAGGATCCCCACCCTGTTCACAGCTTGCTAAGTAGCTGGAGTGGGAACAATCCCTGCCACTCCAAACCCCAGACCACCTCAAGGAGAAAAAGGCCCCCGTCAGGCGGAGCAGGCCCCCATGCACGGTGCCCTCCTCTGTCCAAATGAAAAGAAGAGCGGGCAGGCAGGTCTGGATTTAATGGGGATCTCTGAAAGCTCTGTGACAGGAAGAAGCCCACACAGCTTGGAAACCCATAGTGACGGTAACAGGGCTCTCAGGCCTCCAGCTGACCCTGCAAAACACAAGCGGTTTCACTAGATTAGGAGTGGGGCCTTTCCCACCTCACATTAAGAAAAAAAAAAACCAACCTAGCCAGCCTTCAAACTGGTTTCAGGAATCCTCCTGCCTGTGAGGGGCTGGGGAATAAAACATGAGATGGCCTTAAGGGCACGTCGTGAGGTATTGGGCAGTTGAAAGACAAAGGAGGGAAGCTGCTCTCGATCTGAGCACTCCTCACCTCAAAGGCTGACTCCATCCCCCACCCATCCCCATCCCCCAGGACACCTCCCACACCCATCCTCTCAATCGGCCTTACTAGATCCTGTCACTGACAAGCAGACACTCTAGGCCTCAGGTCCCAGCCGCTAATCCTAAATTGTCAGGAAAACGGCACACTGGTACCACATTGCTCTCTTGTTTCCCGGCTTACATTCTTTCACAGCCTGGACCCAAACACCCGTGCTGCTTTTCACAAGAGTGAGGCTAACACCCACCCAAGGCTGGATTCCTTCTGGCTTCTCCGAGCAGCTGAGTGTTGTGGCTTTGCTAATTAGATTCCTTTCTTGTCTTTAATTAGCTGCATGTGAATCTTGTTGGGAAGTCTTGGATCCGTGAAATAGTCTGGGATGAAAATCAGAACGAAATCATCTCTCCTGAAGGGAAAAGCCTGAGCCACAACAGCTTACTCTACTAAAAAGTGGATGCTTTGTCCTAGCAACACTCACCGGTGGTCCCCACTTGACAGTACAATCTCAGAGCTCACAGCGAGTCCCTGGCAGCTGCCCTCATCAATACCAGGAACCCATCCCAGGCAAGGCCCACGCGGGATGCCCAGTCTGGGCTCTTGGCACACTTGGGGCTCAGGGAGCCACCAAAGGCTCAGGGATTCTGAGTGCTCTGATGCGGGTCCGTCTTAGGACCCGAATAAACACCAGGTATTACTCTGATCTCCACTCAGCTTGCCAGCTCCTGTCTCTGAAATGCAGACCTTTTCTGAGAACACCCTGTCCCGAGGAGAGCCAGGCTCACAGCATGACGACAGAGAGGGTTTTTACACCAGGAAGAAAGGAAGTCACAGCTAGCGTCTGCCGGCAGCGAAGGCGTGCTTAGAACGCTGTGGGCTCCCAGGGCTAACCGCACCCAAGACACCCGCCCAGCTCCCCACTCTCCACTGAAGACCCGAAGCCACCTCGGCAGCGGGGCAGCCGGGCAGCCGAGTCCATTAAAAACCACCTGGGAGCCTTCAAAACCTTGGCTGCTGGCCCCGCCCCAGACTAATTAAATAAAAATCTCTAGAGGTGGGGCCTGAGCATCAGTATTTTCTAAACGCTCCCCGGTGGTTCTGAAGTGCAGCCTGGGTCAGACACCACTTTAAGATCCCCAGCGGACTAGGGCTGCCCGGCTCTCCTTCGGGAATCTCAAAGTCCTTTTTTTTTTTTTTCTTTTTCTTTTTTTGGTTTTTGGAGACAAGGTTTCTCTGTGAAACAGTCCTGGCTGTCCTGGAACTCACTCTGTAGACCAGGCTGACCTCAAACTCACAGAGATCTGCCTGCCTCTACCTCCCGATCAAAAATTCTTAATCCTCACCAAGGGAAGTCCTGCCTCAGTTGCCTGCCACTCTGGCCTCATTTTGAGGAAAAGTCAGGGGGATGAAAAAAGCCTTCAAAAAACAGCTCCTGTGGGGGACATCAAGTGAAGAAGAACCCAGGCCCACACAGTCCTCGGCTTGCCCAGCTCTACATCCCCAATCCTGCTTCTTGCACAGGCACTTGAGACACCCTGGCACCACTGTACTCACGCGCGGCAAATTCCAGGATGTTCTCTGGTCTTTTCAGAAACATTTCTCTGGAAAACATTAAAAGATATAAGGAAGGAGATAACCAGGGGCTCCAGGTCCTCAAGGGGCTCGTGCCAAATGGGCAGAAATGTGACCCTGGAACGGTCTGAGGAAGTTTACCCATGGATTTCCCAAGGTCAGGGGGACAATAAACAAAGTCAAAAGAAAATATTATTTAAAAACTTCAGACGGGCTATTCTCTCCACTACACAGCAGACTGACAAGAAGATGACGCCACCAGGATTCTAGAAATGACGGACATCTCAGAAAGTTCTAGGCTTCATAAACATTCACTAATACTATTTTGCTTTATAATGTCCCTGTGAAATGGCAATTACATCTCATTTTATATATAAAGAAAATAAACCTAAAAAAGGTTAATCATGTTCCCAAGTTCATACAGACAATAAATAGAGAGGAGAGGGCCCAGCACTTGCCCAAAGCCGGTGCTCTCTACAGTGTTTGCTTGGCCTCTGGCTGTGGTGGCCTGCTGACCACCCCCAGTTCCAGGTGCTCTTTTAGCCAAAGTCTCCCCTGCTGAGAAAGCCCAAGCTTCCATAATTTCGTTTCCCTCCTCCTTCAGTTCAATTAGACAATTATTGAGTATAAATTACATGTAAGTAACTACAGTATATAAGAATGATTTTAAAATAAGGGGAAAAAAGATAGGGGCTAGGGAGATGGACTAAACCTCTGACACTGCAAGGACACTCGCTGCCCAAGCATAAGGACCTGAATCCAGATCCCCAGCATCCTTATCAAAAGCTGGGCCTTGACCCTAGCATTGAGGGGACTGGAGGCCGGGATCACTGGGACTCACCAGTCACCAGCCTCTCTCCAGATTCAGTGAGACCCTGTGAATGAGACATAGAGCATTCTAGCCTCCGCATGCTTGTGCATAGGTACACACACACACACACACACACACACACACACACACACACACACACACGTGTGAGCAAAAAATATAGCCCTACCTCAAAGAACTTACAGACAAAAGGAAACAGGTAAGTTTCCCAAAAGGCCAAGGAACCTCAAGTAACTGCAAAAAGAAGACTATTGAATAGTGCTTTAGGAGGGAAGAATAGTGTGCTGGTTTGAATAAAAATGGCTCTCATAGGCCCATAAGGAGTGGCACTATTAGGAGGTGTAGCCTTGTTGGAGTAGGTGTTATCTTATTGGAGGAAATGTGTCACTGAGGTCTCAGAAGCTCAAGCCAGGCCTAGTGTGTCTCAGCCTCTTCCTGTTGCCTGCGGATCCAGATTTAGAACTCTCAGCTCCTTCTCTAGCACCATATCTGCCTGCATGCCACCCACCAAGATAATGGACTAAACCTCTGAAACTGTAAACCAGCCCCAATTAAATGTTTTCCTTTATAAGAGTTGCCATGGTCATGGTGTCTCTTCACAGCAATAGAAACCCTAAGATAAACGGTTACCGAAAGTGGGACCCCAAAACCCTTCACAGAGTAATTGGATTGGAAGGGATCCTTGTGGTACAAATGGGATTGTAATTAGGAAGAATGAAGGATGAGAGACAAGAACATTCCTGGTCCAGGGAAACAGCAAGAACCAAGGCCCAGAGATGGAAACAGTCCTGTGCTCTGTGTGTGTGTGACTGCCTCGAGGTTAGCAGCTGGGTTGGATCTACTATTGTATCCCCAGAGTCCAGGAGGGCTCTCTGGGGTGTCTGCCTGGGCTTAGGGAATAACTAGAGAGCTTGGTCTGGTCAGCATACAGACGTGTGTAGTGAGGGAGAAATGAAAGACTCGTAATGGGAGGTCCGGGGGGTGGGGGGAGGCGGGGGGGCATGTGCTTAGCACGAGGCACTGGGTAGCCTGGCACTATGAAAAAGAAAAAGGCCAGGCAGCAGTGGCGAATACCTTTAACCCCAGCACTCAGGAGGCAGAGCCAGGCAGATCTCTGTGAGTTCGAGGCCAGCCTGATCTACAAAGCGAGATCCAGGACAGGCACCAAAACTACACAGAGAAACCCTGTCTTGAGAAAGAGAGAGAGAGAGAGAGAGAGAGAGAGAGAGAGAGAGAGAGAGAGAGAGAGAGAGAGAGAGAGAGAAAGGGAATGGCATGGCAATATGTGCTGGGGTTACACAATAATGGAATGGAGATAGGACTGAGGAGGAGGAGGAGGAGGCAGGTGTGGAGAGGCAGGGACTCAAGAATGCCATGTACGTAGACACAAAAGGGCAATGGATTTGTGCTGTTAGAAGCCCTTTGCATAACTCACACCACCACCTGGGAGACTGAGGCCAGCCTGGCCTGTTTTGTGAGACTTTGTGTGAAATGACAATAATAATAAGTAACGGGGTCGCTTGGGCTCTGGGGTGCTGGTAAAGCTCAGTTTCTCCATCCAGAGTGTCACATGTACAGGAAAGTTGATCCAATTTAAGATTTGTCACTCATCTGTATATTTCAACAGGTTGTTTAAAAACAAACAAAAAAAGCAATGTTGGAAACCACTGAAGATTTTTCCAGACAACGAAAAACAGACCAGCATTGTGTGATATTTTGATTATGTTCTGACAAATAAAGCTTGCCTGGAGTCAGAGAGCATAGCCAGCCACTAGCTGACCATAGAGGTTTGGAGGACTGTAGAGAGAGGAGACAGGAAGTGGTAAGGTGGGACTGAGAAAGGATCTTATCCCTTTTGGTCAGAGGAATTGGGAGAGGTAGGAAGTGACTATGGCTGCTCCCCTGCTTCTCTGAACTTTCAGGTTTTACTCCCATATCTGACTCCTGATTTTTTTATTAATAAAGATTAATTAGAGTAATGCTTCATCTGGCACCCAAGTCCTTAAAAAAGGAATAGAATAATAAGAAAATATAATAAGCCATGTAAAGATGGGAAATACAGGGCTGAAGAGATGGCTCAGCAGTTAAGAGCACTGGCTGCTCTTCCAGAGGACCCGAGTTCAATTCCCAGCACCCACATGGCAGCTCACAACTGTCTGTAACTCCTGTTCCAGGGGATCCGATGCCCTCATACAGATATACCAACAGGCAAAACACCGATATATATAAAATAAAAAATAAATAGTTTTTTTTAAAAAGATGGAAAATACACAGAGAGTCTAGATACTGTATGTTATTGTGTCTTTACATTTTTTGACTACTAATGAACAAATGATAATTGCTAAGAGACATTTGATTATGAAAGCTGCTAGATTAACAACCTATATATTTAAAAATATCTTGACTTCAAAATTTAAGTCAAAAGATAGGTTACTTTGGGAAAGAGGAAATGATAGGCTCTGGATTCATTCTGGGTTAAGAAAAATCAGGATTGATCGAGGAAGATTCCCCTGAAAAATCTCTGATGGGAATAGATGGACCAGATGATTCAACATTTCAAAATGCCTCTGTTGCAGTTTTCTCTGAGTTCTGCATCCAGAACATCTTCAAGGCTACTGGCTGAGATGATCCAGCCTCACAGAATACTCCAATCAGGACTTAACCATGATCCTAAATTTTCTCAGGGTCCCCCAAATGATATAGAAATGTATTATATAGATATGATAGGATAAAAAGTAGATTATTGGGGCTGGAGAGATGGCTCAGAGGTTAAGAGCACTGGCTGCTCTTCCAAAGGTCCTGAGTTCAATTCCCAGCAACCACATGTTGGCTCACAACCATCTGTAATGAGATCTGGTGCCCTCTTCTGGCCTGCAGGGATACAGGCAGACAGAGCACTGTATACATAATAAATAAATAAAATCTTTAAAAAAAAAAAAAAAAAAAGTAGATTATTGAATCTACTCTGAAAAAAAATATAGAAATGATAGGATAAAAGGGTAGAATCTACTCTGAAAAGAAAAAAGGGAGGATATAGATATGATAAGGTAAAAAGGTAGATTATTGAATCTACTTTTAAAAAGCAACTACTAGTTTTAAATATCTTACATTTGATTGGGTTTTTGTATATTGTATACAAATTATATATATTGATACAAATTTGAGATTGATTTTGTTAAAAAATACTGTACATATGTTTCTAATCTTGTTCAAGGTGTTGTACCTATAAAGCTCATTTAACAATGTAATGCAAATTGCTAGTCCTTGAAAGTTATTACCAACTAATTAGGATATAAAGAAATGTAAGTTAGTATTTAGTCACCTATTACAATTGAACTTGTAGTCATATTAGTTATGTTTTTAAGGTCAAACAGATATATTTTAGATAGATAGGTCATCTTCAAACACTTCAGAGATCTACAGAATATGGTATTTAAGATGTTTTAATAATATAGATTCTTTTTTTATTACTATGAGACACGTCTGCTCCTGGCAGCACCAATCTACTTCAGAGAAGATGATGGGTATTAAAGAAAACTCCAGCTGGGTGGTAGTGGTGCACACCTTTAATCCCAGCACTCGGGAGGCAGAGCCAGGTGGATTTCTGTGAGTTCAAGGCCAGCCTGGTCTACAGAGCAAGTTCCAGGACAGGCACCAAAATTACACAGAAACCCTATCTCGAAAAAACTAAAACAACAACAACAAAACAAACAAAAAACAAAAAAATCCTCCATATTGACTTTAATTTCTTTGTGACAAAAGTTAGCCACTGGGCAAGAAAGTGCCCTTGCCTCAACTGCTGACAGTATGCTGTCCAAAATGGACAAGCAGGACACAAAAGAAAGGACTGTCAAACCTTGCCAAGACAAGGTAAGAAGGCCCTTCAGAAAATTCTGCTTCACAGAAAAGTCTGTCAGGTATGCTAAGCCTGTAGGCTGAAGATGGATGCCCCAACATTGCAGAAGAACCTTGGATGACTGTCCAGGCAGCCAGCTGTTTCTGTCATTTCTCACATTTTTGGAAGTCACTTGTTTGTGCTTCCTGCTTATTTAGGTAATATCATTTCCTTCTTGGGTCTTTGAGGGAGTTGAAGACTAGATAATTATATAGTTTTCCTTGTTAACAAATTCAGAAAAAAAACTCACTACAGAGGTGTGAAGTGTGTAAGATTGAAAGACATCAGAAGATAGTTTTGGGTTGGTAATACAAGTTAGGATAGAAAGTGAATTAGGTACAACATTTTGAACTCACCAAAATGGAGTATTTTCTCTGATCTGTCAAATGTTAGTGGACTGGATATTGTTAATGTAATTCTTGACTGTATATATTGTATATACTTATTGTGCTTATTGTATATAGTTTTCTTATATTAGTTACAACCTTCTCTTATTATTTTAGACAAAAAATGGGGAAATGTGATGATATATTGTGTACCCTAATAAAATTTACCTGAATATCAGAGAACAGAACAAGCCACTAGATTAAACATAGAGGCCAGGCAGTGGTGGCACACACCTTTAATCCTAGCACTCGGGAGGTAGAGATTTGTCTGGATCTCTGTGAATTCAAAGCCATCCTGGACTACATGAGATTGACTCAGTCTAGGAGAGAAAACAGAGCCAGGCAGTGGTGGCACACACCTTTTAATCCCAGTACTGGGAAGCACACATGCCTTTAATCCCAGGAAGTGATGGCTGGGTGGAGAAAGGTATATAAGGCGTGAGGAGACAGGAACTAAAGACTTTTCGGCAGAAGCGTCCCTTTCAGCTAGAGGCTTTTTTGGCTGAAGCCTTTTTGGCTGAGAAAACTCATTCGGCTAGAGGCCTATTGGCTGAGGCCTTTCAGGCTGAGGAGTTGGTGAGGTAAGACATGGCAATGACTTTTTCCTTTGTCTCTCTGATCTTTCAGCATTTACCCCAAATATCTGGCTCTGGGTTTTTTATTAAAAGACCTTTAGAAATACATACAACACCCAAAGATTACCAGCACCCCCAATCAACAGGAAGTGCTCTAGAGAACTATGCTCACATTCCCAAAAATAAATTATGAATGTTTGTCATCATTTAGGGGGGTTGGTTACAAGTTGTTATGGACTATGGATAATGGTCAGGAAAAAGGCTAAACAAAGGAGATTAGTCCTTCAGAAACGGCTGCTTCACAGGAAAGTCTGTCAGATATGCTAGGCCTGTAGGCCAAAGCTGGATGCCTCAACATTACAGAGGAACTTTGAGTGACTGTTCAGGCAGTGAGATGTCCCTGTCATTAGGTAACATTTCACCCTTCTGAAGTCTTTGATGGAGTTGAAGACTAAATAGTTATAGTTTTCCTTAGTTATGATAGAAAGTAAATTAGATACAAAACTTTAGACTCACCAAGATTAGATAATTATTTTCTCTAATTTTGCCAAATGCAAATAGAGTGGATATTGTTACTGTAATTCTTACTTAATAGCTGTTTTTGTTGTATATAGTTTTACTATATGAAGGTTAAAAACCTTAATTTTTTTTTTCTTTTTTTCTTTTTTTTTTTTTTTTTTTTTGGTTTTTCGAGACAGGGTTTCTCTGTGTAGCTTTGCGCCTTTCCTGGGACTCACTTGGTAGCCCAGGCTGGCCTCGAACTCACAGAGATCCGCCTGGCTCTGCCTCCCGAGTGCTGGGATTAAAGGCGTGCGCCACCAAACCTTAATTTTTAATGAGACAAAAAAAAGGGGAAATGCGGTGGAACAATCCTTTTCTACACTATGACTATGTATTACTTTCATTGGTTAATAAAAAACTGGCAGGCCAGTAGCTGGGCAAGAAGTTAGGCAGGAATGCCAAACTGAGAATGATGGGAAGGAGGGCAGAGTCAGGAGAGAGGCTAGCAGTCGCCCAGGAAGCAAGACATGCTAGAGGACAGGTAAAGCCATGAGCCACATGGCAATACATAGATTAATAGAAATGGGTTAATTTAAGTTATAAGAGCTATTGGCCTGAGCTATTGGCCAAGCATTTATAACTAATATAGGCCTCTGTGCGAAGTGGCTGCTGGGTATTTGGGAACAGGTGGGCAGGACAGGAATTGTCCTTTTACAGACCAGAGCTGTAGTTTGGGAAGACTCCTCTGCCTATGCAGGTGTGGACACTGCATCACCAGTACTAAGTCTGAAGTTTCTGGGTACCTAACCTAACTTCGGTCTCTATACTTCTAACTTCTCAGGACCAGATTGAAGGTATTAAGAATTCTGTGCACTGTATTTCTGAGGTGTGGGGACTAACTGGCCACAAATCACGGAATCCAGAAAGCCCAAGCAGAGGATAATCTTCCCAATGGAAGCAGTTCACAGCTTAGTAGGGCTTGGATACCAGGAGCAGAGACCCCAGGGGCAGAACTGGACAGGCAAGCTGTCTTCATCTAGCTCCCCCTCCTCCCTCCTCTTCACACAGGACTGGGCAAAGCTTCCAGAACAAAGCTCACTCTGGTACTGCTCAAGGAAATTAAGAGCAGGCAAACAAAAAGTAGCCCTCATACTTCAGATGCAACCCCAGAGAGAAGTCTGACAGGAGCCAGGTGGAGTCTGCCCAGGTGACCTGCAGAGCATTGAAGGGTTGGCTGGGCTGTTCGGCCTTGGGAAGAGGAAAGGAAGATGAGGGCCTTCGGGGCTGCAGGGTGTCTCTGTGTAGCCCTGGTTAGAACTTTACATGTAGACCAGGCTGGCCTCAAACTCACGGAGACTCATTGACTCTGCCTCCCAAGTGCTGTAATTAAAGGTGTGTGCCATATCCAGTGTCTTAAGTCCAACGCCTTCACCACTTGAGGTTCTGAGATTTTGCTATGCCGATGGAATGCATGGAAAAAATGCACCCTAGGACACACCGGGAAATGGGAGTTTTGTTTGTTTCTCTATTAATTTTTGGCTTTTTGAGAAAGGGTTTCACTCTGCCATCAGACTGGCCTTGAATTCCTAAATCCTCCTGCCTCCACCTCCCAAATGGTGAGGCCAATGAGATTACCATCAAATTTGGAAAACAGTATTCTTTTGCCTCAATTTTTTTTCTTTTTTCTTTCTTTCTGTTTTAGAAATAGGGTCTCTCCAATGCAGTCCAGGCTGGTCTTGAACTTGTGATCCTCCTGCCTCAGTCCCCAAAAGCCCCTATGCCTTGGCTCCCTGTCATTTTTCTACCGTGTTCTCAGGTAGGCAAGGGCCAAGTGTCCCCACAATTGGAAAATGCTCTTCCTCTGCGTGGGAACAGTGTTCTACATTGATGACTACCTGCTGTTTCCCAAAGGCACATTCCCTCTCCCAGTGTCATGAGGTAAATATTCACATTTATCTTTACAGCTGAAGTGAATGAACATTAGTGTTTTAAAGAATGTAGAGATAACTGAAGAAAATTCACAAGTGTCACAGTTACAAAAGGTTGACTCTTAGGAATTTTCTAACTTTTACAGGGTCCAAACCAAGTTGGGCTGGTGCATCTGCGTAGTTCCAGCACCGGAAGGTGCGGGCAGGACCGTCACAAGTCCAAGGCTAGTCTATGCTACATAGTGAGTTTGACTTCGAGACCACTCCTGGCTACATGAGACTCTGTCTTTAAAAAAGGTGGGGGGGGGGGGGGACAGTTTGATGCTGCTGTTGTTTTTGTTTGAGTTTCTCTGTGTAACTCAGGCTGGCCTCAAACTGAAGATTCTCCCTGAGTGCAGCTATTAGAGAGTACACTTGAACCTGTTTATCCATTCCCAGCGAGATCTGGTAAAACCCTTACCAGCTCCCGAAGGCCAGCCCGTCACACCACCTACCTGAAGAAGCCGCTGATGAGCAGCGACACCTCTTTGTGGGTCCTCAAGTACTTTTCATTTGCGATCCGAGTCTGGATCTGAGGAGCAACAAACCAAGAGTCAAAGACCTGGGGAGACAGATCCAGGCTTGAACCCTGGAAGGAGGTGTGAGGGGGGAGGGGGACGAGGCAGGTCTTTTCCTGGAGTGTCTGAAAGCCGAAGCTCAGTTGTCAGATTTTCCTTTGAGGCAGCCCCATTTCTTTTCTCCAAAGGCTGAGTTTCATAGCGCCTGGGCTGTCCTGGAATTTGGTGAAGCTGGCCTTGAACTCCTGATCCTCTTGCCTCTACCTCTCAGGGCTGGTTTGTGCGCTGGGGGAGGTGGTGGTAGAGAGGATTGGAATCCAGCAGTCGGGGCATGCTAGGCCAGCATGCTAGCTCCATGTAGTTCAGTTGAACTACACCCTCTGTCATTTCTCTGGCCCGACCCCTACTTGGTTCCTCTTGCACTTTCAAATGCCTGGCGGATTTGGGCTTAGCGACCCTCCACCTAGCTCTCTGGCACTTATCTTGGGGAACAGGCCCTCCCCTCTCCCGGGGTCCTCCTCCCTGTCCAAGGGGCCTTTTTCCTGAGGAGCTTCACTTTGATGGAAACAGGTCTTAGGGGATGTCGACTCACGCACCTTGAAGTCTCGCAACTGCTCCAGTTGCTCTGGGCTCAGGGCTCCCGGATCTGGCCCCACTATCCCTCCGGGTAACCGCTCCATCTCGCTGCAGTCGGTTGTCTAGGCGACGGGTCGCGGAGAAATGAAGCCCCGCCTCACTGTCAGCCCCGCCCTGACCCCGCCCCCCTCTATAAATCCAATCCTTTCCTGGCAGGAAAGGCAGAATCCTACTGACTGAAGCAAGGTGGAGGCCTCTCTTCAGTTGAATGAACATGAACTTGGGGGTCTCCAGGGGATCAGTTTTCCCAGACTTAAAGACCGGCTTCTGAGCTGAATTGTGCATGAAATGAGACTTCCTTCTTGACCCCACTCAACCTCAAATAGTGCATTTACTTAGCTAGAACAAATCACAAAAGAGGTTCCTAGCGAAGGATCTTTCAGAATCCAGCTCCCAGCTTGGGCAGACTCTGTGCTTGTGTAGAAAAATCTAGGCTTCCTCCCTTCTCATTGGCCCAGAAGTCAAGCATCTCGTCTGTTCTGTAGATAGACACTAGATATTGGAGGCCTGCGTTCTTAAAATATGAAAGTACCCCCAGAGCGTGGTGGGAGCCAATCTCTGCAAAGACAAGGACATTCTCAAACTCAGAATGCTGGACCTGGCTAGCGCTCTGGCAGAACTTCCCCTTTTTGGAATGACTTTCTCAGGTAGATCAATTTTCTCTTCACCCTGGGCTCCTCATAAGTTGTAAATTATTTCTCTCTCAACTGAACACTGAAAGAGAAAGTGAATGAACTGGCGGCCAGAGTTGTCCTTCTAGCATCTAATTAAGAAGGGTAAGTGAAACATAAAACCAGTTCTCAAAACAGCTGCCTGGAAAGGGCAGGAGCCTGTGTCAACACACACACACACACACACACACCACATGTGCACATCTGCTTTCCCTGCTCACAGAGATGGTGCCCAGTAGGGACCTTCTGAGACAGGAGACAGAATCCCAAAAGAGTCTAGGACTTGTGAACAACTGCCCCCAGAGCAAAGACACAGCGTGGGAAACCAGCTAACTGTTAGGCCACAGAGGGATCCCTCTGCGATCTGCAGGTCTCTACATTTCCGAGACAGAACAGCCGATACCGGTGAGTCAGTTAGTGGCTATAAGCCTCTTCCCAGGAGCCCATCTGGGTTAGCAATCGTTTGGGTTGTTTATCTGTTTTTTAGGAGAGAGAGTTAATGGTGAGAGAGATAAGCTGCCATCTGTCAGAAGTGGTGTTTTCCCAGCAAGAGCAGAGGTTACTCAAGGGTGAGAGCTTCTATCAGCTGAGGCCGACTTCCTCCTACCCCAGCAGAGGGAGAGGCTACAATGAAATGCAGACTGGTAAGTAGTGTGGCTGCCACAGCCTCTCAGTTCTTCAACATTTGAGATGTGGCCAGAAATTTGAAATACACTCTGGATCTTGAAGACTTCATGGAAGAAAATAATGTAAACTCTCTCAATAACTTTATGTGCAGAGCATGTTGAAATAGTATTTTGAATAAAGTAGATTAAATACAATGTCTTTGTGTGTCTGTGTTGTGCACATGTGTGTGAAAGCAGAGGTCACTGTCCATTGTTAGTCACTGAGCTTAGAACTCACTGACTGGCCAGGCCAACACGGAGGCCCAGAGATGCAGGAATCCACATTCCCTGGCTGCCCAGGGAGGGGACTGCGGACTCAACACTGCACCCAACGTCTTATGTGGGTGCTAAGGACTCGGACTCAGGTACCCATGCTTGTGTAGCGAGCACCCCACCTCTGAGCCATCTCCCCAGGCCCATAAATGATTGACAACCCAGGGTCTCCATGTAGCCCTGGCTGGTCTGGAACTCACTGTGTAGACCAGGCTAGTCATAAACTCAGAGATTTGCCTGTGCTGCTTCCCAAGTCCTGGGATTAAAGGCATAAATCACCATTCCTAGCTCCATTGTTTGTTTGTTTGTTTATGTTGGTTTTGCTTTTTCAAGACAGGGTTTCTCTGTGTAGCCCCAGCTATCCTGGAACTCACTGTGTAGACAAGACTGGCCTCGAACTCAGAAATCCTCCTGCCTCTGCTTCCCAAGTGCTGGGATTAAAGGTGTGCTCCACCACGCCCGACTCATAAAATGATTTTTTAAAGTAGTTTCACAAGCTGCACACAATGGTTCATACCTATAATCTCAAGTACTTGGGAAGTTCACCCTAGGCTACCCAGTGAGGTTCAGGCCAGCTTGGGATACAGAAGACCCTGTCTCAAGTAAATAAACAAACAGATAATTCTTAAAAAGTCAGGAAACAAACTAGACTTTTAATCCCAGCACTCCAGAGGCAGAGGCAGGAGGGTCTCTGTGAGTTCGAGGCCAGTTGGTCTTTGCAGAGAGTTCCAGGTCAGACAGAGAAAATCTGTCTCAAATACATACATACATACATACATACATACATACATACATACACAAGCCAGCAAGATGATCAGTGGGTAAAACATTTGCCACATAAACCTAAAGAACTGCACTTGACTCCCCAGAACCCACATAAAGGTTGAAGAGAGTAGAGGATCACTCTGAAAAAGTTGTTCTTTGACCTTCACACATGCACTGCAGCATGTCTTCATGTGTGTGCACACACATGCAAATACAAATTAATACATGTAAAATTCTAGAGGAGGAAAATGACCCCACAAAGTTGTCTTCTGACCTCTACATGCAAGCCATGACACACTCACCCTCCAATAATAAAATAATACTCAATATAATAAATAATAGAAAAGAAGAAGAAGAAGAAGAAGAAGAAGAAGAAGAAGAAGAAGAAGAAGAAGAAGGAGAAGAAGAAGAAGAAGAGATTTTTAAAATCAGCAGCTTTCTTGGGAGTTGTTGAGATGGGCTCTCTCTATGTAGCTCGGGCTGCTGTGGAGCTTGCTATGTAGCCCAGGCTGGCCTGGAACTCACTCTGTAGACCAGGCTGGCCTCGAACTCACAGAGCCCCGCCCGCCTCTGCCTCCTAGTGCTGGGATTATAGAGGTGCACCACCACTTTTGCCCCCATTAAATAACAGATTTATTTATTTTTATTTTTTATGTATATAGGTGTTTTACCTGCATATATGTGCATGTATTTGCTGCGGAGGCCAGAAGAGAGCATCAGATGGCCTGGACCTGGAGTTACAGAGGACTGTTAGTCGTGACATAGGTACTGGGAATTGAACCTGGGTCCTCTGAAAGAGCAGCCAGTGGCCATCTCTCCAGCACCTTACAGTCAGTCATCTTTTAAGACAAGGCAGTTTAGCTTTGAGTGCAGAGGAACAAGAAAGAGCAAGCTTGCCGGGCGGTGGTGGCGCACGCCTTTAATCCCAGCACTCAGAAGGCAGAGTCAGGCGGATCTCTGTGAGTTCGAGGCCAGCCTGGTCTACAGGGCGAGATCCAGGACAGGCACCAAAACTACACAGAGAAACCCTGTTTCAAAAAAACAAAACAAAACAAAAAAAGAAAGAAAGAGAGCAAGCCTGTGGACGGTGGGCAGAGAAATTCTTTTGGGGGAACTAAGGCCCGAAGCCTCATTTCCTCCAAGAGAAGCTCCTAGGGGTGGACTCATGCATGGGGCCCCCTTAGTCTTTACCTCATAGAGCTCCCATCCCCTAAGACTGAAAGAACTTCAGAGACGTGCCCACAGCCACTGGGCTCGGGGAGTCTCGTGAGTACATTCTCCTCTCTCTGACTGACAGTACCAATCTGGACCGTAAGCTGAGCAAAGTCTTTAGCTCCTCTGCTGTTTGCAGGTATCTCCTGGTTACTGCCTGGGAGGAGGAGCCGGAGGGGTTCATTGAGATTCGTTCTTGTGGATGTTTAATATTTCGATTAATATGATTAGGCCCAAGCCTGAATGAGCAGCAGGGCGGCAGATCTGCTGAGGAGACACAGAGTAATGAGATCAGTGGGCCCATCCATGGGATCCCCCAGGTTCACAAGGCGTGATCTGTTTAGCATCTCCATAAATGCCAAGATCAGATTAGAAAGAAGGCAAGACGGAAGAAGTGGGGGTGGGGCAGGTGAATGGAAAGTTACTGTGGAGACAGATAGCTTTCCGCTTCCTGGTCCCCTGGCACTACCAGGGCATCTCCTGGCCACTCACCACAGAGTCCCCTGTTACCTCACCCTCTTGTTCCATTTTAGGGCACCCTATTGGGAGGACCTGGGCATCTGAATGATGAAGAAGTAATCAAGTCTCCACACAGACATTCACTCAAATATACACATCTGCCAGAATGTAGCTTCAGGCCACAGACACCCAGGTTAAAGAAGGTGGAAGTGGTGACCAGGGAATGGGGCCATAGAGGACGCACTGACTCTTACACAGCGCTTCACTGTGCACAGAGGGAGACAAAGGCCAGGTTCACATCATTGCATTCCCACATGTGAGAGCTCAACACAGGGACTCAGGACCCACTCTCCCAGGCTGGAGTCTCAGCTGGCTGTGTTTCTGGCTGTGTGACCTTGGCCAAGTTATTTAACCACACTGTGTCTTGGATTCTTCATCCATATCATAGAGGGTGGTGTGCTTAACAAGTTAGAAACCCCCACACATTTGGAACAATGCCTAAGAGGTGGTTCTGTTATTTCAGTTCCAGAAGAGGAACCTGCTTATTGTGATAACTCAGGAATGGAGGCCTCCAGGATGCATCTGGGAATCCCAGAGACACTCACATCACTCTAGAGACATCAGCATGGAAAAATGGGGAAGCAGGGCACTCTTCAGAAGCTGCCAGTGAAGTGTGGATGGTGAGCTGGGACTGCTACCACTGAGAGCTGATGCCAACAGATCCACCCTGCACTGAGCAGGTGTCGTGCTTGAGCAGAGAGGGCCAACTTTCCTCTGGGTCACAGAACGCATGATCAGGTTTAGAAGTGTAATTGTTTGCGGGGGGGGGGGGGGGGGGGGGGGGAATGATCCCTAAACTTGTTTTTTGGCTTCTCTCATCTGACTCTGAGCAAAAGAAGGAGTAACTGGGTACTCTGCCCCCAAGGGGAGCCTAGCAGCTGGGCTTATTCCCACAGAAGGAATCGGGGATCTCCACATGTCACAGGTTCTTTGCATGAAGTGTTTGTTAAGCACCTACTATGTATAAGGAAGACGCCACAGGAGACTC